TATGTTTCACTGATCCCATAATCCACGAGGATCGTAGTGTCGATGTGTGATAGAGAGCCTCGTCAGATTATGTCTTTACTTTTCCCGGTTTTTTGTACGAGCGCCTGAGTTCGGGAGAAAGATTTCCCTGTCCACTCGCAATGTTGTCAGACCACCTCTTTCTTTGCCTTCCTCTTTCTCCCCTCCAGCACAGTTCCCAGAAGCATGGTCTAGCATAGGCCACGCAATCTTGTTACATGACTCTACCAATTCGCTTTTTTTCGCTTCACAGTAGACAGCAGGTCTAAATAGCGACCCAGGTGTTATTTCACTCTGCTACGCACTTATGTACCGGGAATAAAACGACTGTCATACACACAGTTTCGGGAGAAAAGCTATAGAAAAAAACGCGCAACTTGTGTTGTGAGGTCAAAAATTCGTGGCACAACCTATTGTCAATTAATAACTGTAGCAAATATTGAGACAAAGGCTCTCCAGCTTTTGCACAATGACTTATATCATTTTGTCTTAACAGATCAACATTTTAATAATAATCCGTTGGCTGTATTCTACAAAATTCCTTAATAAATACGAATAAAAAGTCAAGTGGATGGTTTCTATAGATTTTGAAAAGTTTACAGCTGAGGCAACATCTCTTTTAAAAGCAAGTCCGTCGGTTTTTTTTTGTTTCTAATCAAGAATAATGCTTATGAAACGCATGCTTTGAGAACCTATCATTGAATGCAAAAATGTGTTCACTATAACTTCATTTCTTGTAACAAGTTTTGCCACGAAAAGGTGTCATTGAAGAGCTATGACGTAGGTCATATGCGTATGCAAACTGTGTATGAGAAGCGGGAAGTTTCTGTAGGAAATCCCACTTTCTGCGTGACGGAGATTTATAGTCCCCATCAGGGCAGTGCTACTGACTGAAGTTGTCTTTAGGCCATTCTCAGAGGAGGGATTTTTACATGTTCTTAATGCACAGTAGAATTTTGAATGGGCTGATTTATCAATGCCATGCTCATACTGGGCCGGAACAACATAGGGGGAACTGTTGCTTTTTCTTTCCTCATCCTCACTATCGCCATACTTTTTTCTCTACTTCTTTTGTATGTTTGTCACTTTCTTGTGAACTGCTATTTCTGGGGTGCCTTGATAGTCGATGTAGACTTTGTGCTGTTGAGGCTAGAGAGATGAGCAGAGTTAGCCTGATTCCCCGTTCGGACTTCTCTGTTGACATATACCCCTTGGCACTCATATGACTTTATGCAGTTGCGAGCGTAAAACCTTACTAAAACTAAACTATTTATAGTAGTCTATTATTATAAACATGGTCCAAGGATCATCATGGCCTCATTTGGAACTAAGAAAGAACTCAAGGTAAGAGATGGTAGGAAGAAGGTCATAAACATGAACATCATACAAGTGTATGCTCCAACCAATGATGCAGAAGTGAAGAATAAAGATAACTTCTACAACCGCCTGCAGAGCGTCATCGACAAACTTCCAGGTAAGGACATCAACATTGTCATGAGAGATCTAAATGCAAAGGTAGGTTCGGACAATAGTAACAATGAGTAAATCATGGGCAGACACGGATTAGGAGAGGCAAATGACAACGGAGAAAAGTTCCAAAACTTCTGTACATTCAACAACCTGGTCATTGCAGGAACAATCTTCCCACATGAAAGGATTCACAAGGCCACTTGGGTATCCCCGGACGGAACAACAGAAAACCGGATTGACCACTTTTGCATCTTCCGAAAGTTTAGACGTTCACTGGAGGACGTCCGAGTCTTACGAGGAGCAGACGTCGCATCAGACCACCATTTGATCCTTGGAAAGATGAAACTAAAACTGAGAAGATATGCACAAGTCACAGCTGGAAATCGTTTAAAGTATGAAGTGAGCCTTCTGAAAGACCCAGTAAAGAAGAATGAGTTCAAGTTGGAACTGAAGAACAGATTTCAAGCCCCTCAAGATCTAGATGAATGTGAAGTCAACGAACACTGGGATAAGATAAGAGAGGCAGTGAATGCAACATGCCAGAGCACCCTAGGACCCAAAGACAACACCAGGAATGAATGGATTTCACAGGACTCTCTAGACAAAGTCAAAAAAAAGAAGAGAGCTGAAGGCCCAAGTCAACAACAGCCGTACCCGAACTGAGAAACTCGCTGCACAACAAGAGTACACCGAAGTAAACCGGGAGGTAAAGAATTCCATCAAGAAGGACAAGAATACCTACCTGAATTGCCTGGCCGAAAATGCAGAGAAAGCAGCAACAGACGGGCACCTGCGGATTGTACACCAGACTACAAGAACTCTTTCAGGTAGGTTCAGCAAGCCCACTCAATCAGTGAAGGACAAAGAGGGAAAGACTATCTTCAACCCATAGGAGCAACTTAACCGATCAACTATTAAACAGGCCACCTCCAGAAAACCAACCAGAAATTCTTCCAGCCAGAAATGACCTCCCAATAGTTACGGAACCACCTTCAGGAGAGGAAATTGCAGCCGCTATAAAAGCACTGAAGTCCCTCAAGGCAGCTGGTCCCGACCATATACCACTGGAATCCCTTAAGGCAGAGAAAGATACGTTAGTGGAAATTCTCTATGCTCTATTTGAAAAGGTTTGGCAAAAGGAGAAAATACCATCAGGAATGAAGGCCACCTAATCAAGCTGCCAAAGAAAGGAGACCTCAGCAATTGTAACAACTACAGAGGAATTACACTCCTGTCCATACCTGGGAAAGTCTTCAACGGGATACTCCTGGAGAGAATCAAGCTGGCAACAGATGAGAAGCTTCGAGGAAACCAGGCAGGATTCCACAAAAACCGATCATGTGTGGACTAGATCGCTACTCTGCGTATCATTGTTGAGCAATCGCTTGAATGGAATTCATCACTCGTGGTCAACTTCGTTGACTATGAAAAGGCGTTTGACAGCGTGGACAGGGAAACTCTGTGGAAACTCATGCGGCATCTTGGAATACCTGAGAAAATTATCAAGCTTGTGAAGGCCACCTATGATGGAACAAACTGCCAAGTCTTCCACGAAGGACAACTCTCAGAGCCATTCCAGGTGCAGACAGGGGTGCGAAAAGGATGCTTGCTTTCACCTTTTCTCTTCATACTGGCAATTGACTGGGTCATGAAAGAAGCCACCAGAGGCAAACGTAATGGAATACAATGGATCCCTTTGCAGCAGCTGGACGACTTGGACTTCGCCGATGACATTGCACTGCTCTCTCACACACATGCTCAGATGCAAGAAAAGACCAAGGAACTCAACAGCCTATCAAGGAGTTTTGGTCTACGTACTATACATCCAGGCAAGTCAAAAGCAGTGAAGCTAGGAAAAGTGTCAAGCCCTTCTGTGACAGTGGAAGACACTCCCCTGGAAGAAGTGGACTCCTTTACCTACCCTGGAAGTGTCATTGATGGTAAAAGTGGAACCGAGGCAGATGTTAAAGCAAGAACCGCCAAGGCAAGGTCAGCCTTCAAGCAATTATCAAAAGTCTGGAAAGCAAGCAACATCTCACTGCGCACCAAGATTCGACTCTTTAACTAAAACGCCAAGTCTGTGCTCCTCCACGGCTGAGAAACTGGGAAGACAACGAAGACAGTACTGAATAAAGTCCAGACTTTTATCAACAGATGTATGAGGAGTATTCTAAGAATTAAGTGGCAGGTTAGAATAAGAAATGAAAAGCTGTGGAAAAGGACAGGACAAAAGGATATAGAAGTAGAAATCGGACTAAGAAAGTGGCAATGGACGGGACACACCTTAAGAAAGTCCAGCGCGGAAACATCACAAGACAGTCACTGAAGTGGAACCCACACGGAGCATGAGGCAGGGGTAGGCCACGGGAAACATGGAGGAGATGCGTGGAAAGGGACATGAGAGAAATGAAGCTCACTTGGAACGAGCTTGGAAGGATGGCTCAGGACAGAGATAAATGTAAGGAGCTTGTATGTGGCCTATACCCTGCGAGGGGTGGAAGGCATTGATGAAGATGATTATTGTTATATACGTTTATGAAGAAAAGTTATTTCATCGAGCCCCAACTGCTTCGAAAAAAATATGATAAAGTTAAACCAAATATTGATAAAAACTGCTGTGCCAAGTATGAGCAACATTCGTTCATCCCATGAAGAAATGTTTGAGGATAAGTTGCGCCACGAATTTCTGATTGTAATATTATAATTGTGTATACCACTCTTTCTGATCAAAACGGGAATACACAGAAAGCAGGAATTTTATTTTTGCGAGCAGATTGAAAGTAAAGTAGCAACAAGTTGGGCATATATTAAAACATACTCTGTATATAGTTGAGTGAGCATGGCATGTTATATTATATAATATTACACACCTCATACATAATCAAATACACACACTCACCCTCTCACACACAGCACAGACAACACACACAATACACCCCCCCACACGCACACGCACAGGCACGCATACACATACACACACAGACACTCACACACAGACACTCACACACACACACATACACACACACACATTCACACACACATACACACACACATACACACAAACACACACACATACGAGTGCGCCCTAACAAGCAAACTTCGGTGTACACAGTTTTATTCTTAGCCCTCAAACACGCTCTCTTCTAGTGAACTTGACAAGTATTTTATTTTCTGAAGACATGAATACAAATATTGCACTTTGGTTTAGTTCCTTTTCTCGTACTATTTGATATTTATCTTATATACTTTATCATAATTCTTTTTATACAGACGTGTGTGTGTATGTGTGTTATACATATTTTATATACGAGAGAAAGAGTGGGTGTGTATTAGAGAGAGATAGAGAGCGATAGAGAGTGAGGGAGAGAGACAGAGAGAGAGAGAGAGAGAGAGAGAGAGAGAGAGAGAGAGAGAGAGAGAGATAGAGAGAGAGACAGAGAGAGGAAAGAGTGTGAGATTGAAAATATAAAAGCTAGTATATGTATTATGAACTGAAAAAAAGCTCAACGACCTATTTATTTAAACCACAGAGAGATTTTTATTTGGTTGCAGTAATAAATTCTGCCTTTACAAACGTTGGCCCACGGTACTTGGTCCTCCTTCATTTTTTAGTTGGGGACCCCAGCGTAGTTACTACTCGAGTGAGAGTCACACCACCGTCTACTTTTACGCACTGTCCCGTAACAAAATTGGAATCCTCGCTCGCCAGAAATGCCACCACGTTGGTCTGCTCCCTAGACGAAGAGCTACGTCTCTCAAGAAGAATGCCTTGTTTTCCCATGAATGCGTTCACTGTGTTTATACGGATGCCTAATAGTGAAAATAAACAACAGGTAAATCAGTAGGTAAGTAAGTAAGTCAGTCAGTCAGTAAGTAAGTAAGTAAGTAAGTAAGTAAGTAAGTAAGTAAGTAAGTAAGTAAGTACGTACGTAAGTATGCGAGTACGTAAGTCAGTGAGTAAATCAGAGAGCAAGTTTGTAATTAAGTGAGTGAGTGATTGAGTTAATATTTCAGTTTGTGAGTGAGTAAATAAGTAAGGAAGTAAGTCAGTCTGTAAGTTAGCGAGTAAGTAAGTAAGTAAGTAAGTGAGTAAGTGAGTAAGTAAGTAAGTGAGTATATAATATTTAAGTAAGTGAGTACGGTAAGTAAGTAAGTAAGTAAGTACGCGAGTAAGTAAGTGAGTAAGTATGTGAGTGAGTAAGTGTGTTATTGAATAAGTAAGTAAGTGAGTAAGTATGTAAGTCAGTGAGTAAGTGAGTAAGTATGTAAGTCAGCGAGTAAGTGAGTAAGTAAGTCAGTCAGTGAGTAAGTGAATTAAGTAAGTGAGTGAGTGAGTGAATGAAAACGTGACTGAGTGAGTGTGTACCTGGGGGATTGAGTGTGTGATTGAGTGAGGGAGTATGTTAGTGTAGGTTGTGAATGAATTATTGAATGAGTTAGTTAATGAGTGGATGAGTAAATGAGAGAGAGAAAGAGAGAGACAGAGAATGAGAGAGAGAGAGAGAGTGAGTGTGTATGTGTGTATGTGTGTGTGTATGTGTGTGTGTGTGTGTGTGTGTGTGTGTGTGTGTGTGTGTGAATGGATAGTTAAGTGAGTGAGTGAGTGAGTGAGTGAGTGAGAGAGTGAGTGAGTGAGTGAGTGAGTGAGTGAGTGAGTGAGTGAGTGAGTGAGTGAGTAAATGTGTAAGTGAGTAAGTGAGTAGGGGAGTGAGTGAGTGTGTGACTGACTGAGTGTGTATTGCACTTTAAGCTATGAATCAATTATTGAATGAATTAGTAAATCAGTAAGTGAGTGAGTGAGTGTATGTGTGAAAGATCTGTTTAGTGAGTGAGTAAGTGAACGAGAGAGTAGGTAAAGGAGTGAATGCCAGAGTGAGAGGTCAAGCAATTGAACTCCTCAGCGAGTGTGTAAGTACATGTAGTTAAGTAAACAAATATGTAAGACAGAATGAAAGGAAACATGTAGAAAGGGAAGAAGAAAAGGGTAAAAAAAGAGAAAGAAAAAAGAGAGAAAGGATATAGTACCCATGCCGATACTTCGTCATCATCAACCTCATCATCCAGTGCCAGCGACAAACATCGGCGATCATGCTTTTTCATTCATTCCTTTGCTCGGATGCTCTAAAAAAAAGCTACGTTTCCCTGATCTTTCCCTGTTACCCATTTGTTTAGGTTACCTCAATATGTTGTTCTGGGCCTACCCCTGCCTCGCTTGCCCTCAATTTTGCCAGTAAGAGCTAGATGTTCAAGACCCTTATTTCTGGTGTCCAAAAAACTGCATTTGTCGTTTCCTGATTGTTTTTAACATTGAGCGTCCCACGTGGGCTTCATCAAGCACTACCTCATTTGATTTCTTTTCCTTCCACGATACTCTTAGCAGTCTCCTAAGAAACCACATTTCTGTAGCTTCTATTTTATTTTCACTGTCTTCAGTGATTGTCCAGCATTCACAGCCCCATTGAAGGGTTGACCAAACATAGAATTTCAGGACTTTCATTTTGGTTTTCATCGAGATGTTTCTATTTTTCAGGATTGGACTCATTTTTATTGAAACTAGCCTTAGCCATTGTAGTTCTCCGTTTTATTTCTGTGGAACATTTGGCATCAGATGTTATCCTTAAATCCTAGATATTTAAAATATAGGACTTGTTTGATCTTTTCACCTTTGCTAGTGAGATTACAATTAGGATTTGCTGCTTTTTTATATTACCATGCATTCTGTTTTCTTTACTTTCAACAATAATCCGTTACGTTCAGTTTCTGTTACAACAGTATCTAGAAGCAATTGAAGGTCCATTCCGGAGCTTGCTATTAAAACTGTGTCATCTGCACACCTGATGTTGTTAATATTTTCTCCATTTACTTTGAGACCTGGACATTCTTCTATGTTTCTAAGGATTGTTTCACTGAACATGTTAAAGAGATCTGGGGACATAACACATCCTTGCTTCACTCCTCGCATAATCTGCTTATATTCACTTTATTCTCCATTAATTCGTACAGCAGTGTTTTGGTCCCAGTACAAATTTTTGATAATTCTTAGATCTTTTCCATCTATGTCTAGCTTTTCCAGTATTTTAAATAGCTCATCATGTCTAACTTTATCGAACGCCTTTGAATAATTTATGAAGCATAAATACAGATCTTTCTGTGCTTCAATACATCTTTCCATTAACATTGTTAAGGTGAATATAGCATTTCCGAATTGCGTTTTAGATATCTCTGGTCTTACACTTTTTCTCAATCTTCTCATTATTACTCGCTGCAATATTTTTGTAAAACGACTCATAAGGCTAATTGTTCTATGCATATCACACTCAGTGGCACCTGGTGTTTTAGGTAAAGCTATAAAAACTGACTTCATCATATCTTCTGGTATCTCACCGCTGTCATAAATAGCATTTAGGAGCTTTGTTGTTATTTCAGTGCCTAGTTCTTCAAGCGCCACAGTCACTTCAACTTTAATATTATCTGGCCCAGTGGCTTTTCCTTGTTTCATTTTCTTAATGACAGCTTGTACTTCTGCTTTCAGTATTGGGTGGTCCATTTATTTCATTCTTTATTACCGGGTTTTCTCCTCTATTATCTTTGAAAAGTTCTTCTATGTATTCTGACCATCTGTTTAAGACATCCCCGTGGTCCATTAAAATATTCCCTCTCTTTGATCATATGCATCCTGTCATGCAAGCCCTTAAATTTAAGTCAGTCAGTGAGTTAGTGAGTGAGTAAGTAAGTCTGTGAGTAAGTGAGTAAGTGAGTAAATGTTCGAATGATTCCATTTGGCTCGGTTCTATCTGTGAGTGATGTTTAATTCAGAGGTCCTGAGTCTTAATTTACCTAACAGTGTTGAGAGAGGTAATTAACTTATACATTCTAGTGCAGTTTTTTCTTTCTTTCGCAAATTTGACCATTTAATGGTCATAGAAAAGTCTGCTTACTTTTGGGTCCTAAGTCAAGAACCAAACAGCGAGTCATGTGATCAAGTCCCGCCTTGGATATGTTATCGACGATAAATTTACTGCTGGCAGTGCTGCTCCCGATGGAGGAGATGATGACCACTTTCCCTTTGGTCTTCTCCAGTTCTGGAATAGCCTCTTGGACCAGGAAGAACGGCGCCTTTAGGTTACTGTTGAAGACAACGTCGTACGACTCTTCGCTCTCCGACATGAAGCTTTCTGTTTGAAGACCCATCTCAGTGTTGAGTACCAGAACGTCAAGGCGTCCGAAAGCCTTTACTGTCGACTCAATGATGTTTTTCCTCACCTAAAAACAAAGCAAAAATATAAATTAAAGAAGAATGAATTCTCTTCTCCGGCCAACTTATTCTTTCTTTCCCAGAATCTGCATCTACAAAGCAATAGCAAAAATCATGCTGGTGACGCCAATCAGCTTTTTGGGTAATCAAAATTTTTAAAGGGAAAACTGCTAACTCATCTTGTTCCAAGATTTGTCATCTCGTGGTTACACGATGTAAAGAAAGGCAATGAGAGACCGGTGCAGGGCACAGATAGAGAGATAGAGGCCAGCAAATTAGCAAAGGCAACCTGGTATTTGAAAGCCCCAAAGTCCAAACAAACAATATGTAATTGTAATTGTTGGTGTTTTACGCTCCTATTGACACAATTATCGCATGATAATGAAAACATGAGGGTAGATATAAGTGAACACTCTACAACGGTAGAAACGTCGCCTGCCGCGTCAGTGACAAATGAGGTTATTTAAAACACTGAATCCTTCTGTAGGGGATACAACATGACACAGGTATAACATTTAATTAATTTTACCCTCTGTCATCTAGGGAGAGTAACAAAAAGCAAAAAAAAGTATCAAAAACACATTGTGTCACGACGCGGTAGAATCAGGCGCTCGTCAGCTTTTTGGGCATTTGGAGATGTTGCTATCATCTTAAAGCTTGTTCATTTGACCATCTTTTGATGACAAAAATACACGCCTATCTTGAATAGAAGTCGAGATATTTGCGATTGAAGGAGGTCGTGGTCGCCTGGTTTCAGAGGTAAAATTAGTTAGAAAATGGTCACAAAAGTTTGATGATTCCTTGGAAACTGAAAATGTACATTTGTAGTGCCTTTAATCAAGGTTTTTAGTAAAACACAAACAGACAAATGTTTTTAAATGGACGTAAAAGGTGTTGAGCCAAAGAAAAAAAAATGGGGAAAAAATGGAAAAGTGTCAAACTGGAGGAAGAATGACGATATTCTATTTCATTTTTTTGACGAGCACCTGATTTTACCACGATGCCATTTAAGGCTTGAACCCAGAATTTAAATCAAAAGCTGATTTTTAAAAAAATAGTATTCATATTGGGCTCAACCCCGATTAAAGTAAACAGACTCTGCTGCCTCTACTGCTGCTGATGATGATGAGGATGGTGATGATGATGATGATGATGATTGCTCTACTACTACTACTACTACTACTACATTGTGGGTGGTTGGCGGGTGTTCTGGTGTGGTTTGCTTCTTCTTCCCTCTCAAACGTCTATCGTTCTTATCTCCCCTCCTTCTTTTTTGTGTTTGTTACCCTCTTGTAACACCTCTAATCTTTGGCACTTATATGACCTTATTGTGTTGCAAGAACCGTAAAACTCTTACGAAAACAAAAATACTACTACATTATTATTATCATTATTATTATTTATCATTTAATAATAATAATTATTATTAGATATCACTAGGTCGAGTCAGTGGTGGAGAGTCTTGAAATCTCCATAATCCGACACACTTTATTATAAGAATGCCCCTTTGGAAATTCAAACCGCAGTCCAATACAATACCCACTGAGATAACACCGTGCTTTAGAAAAAGAAGATTGCGTTCGAAGGTATTGTTTTATTTTAGTTAGAATTTTACGGCAACTACAACACAACACGGTCATATAAGTGCCGAAGATTAGAGGTGTAATGAGAGAGTAACAAACACACAAAAATTAGGAGTGATTAGGACAATAGATGTTTGATAGGAGCAGACAACAGTAGAGCAGCCACCACCCGCCCACTTTTGAAGACAGGTATGCCCGAAACGCCACAATGTGTATATTTCTGGGGTCGACGTGACGTAACACCATATCTCCTTTTGATAGTTGAAATCGCGGTAAAACACTTGACAGAAGTGTTACCGGAATACGACTGTTCATTTTCGTCGCTCACATCAATCCCATAAACCAAGAGAATATCTCCTGCCATTGTCTTACATAATCGGGGCTTTCTGTACTTTTTTTGTTAGACAGTTAAATTTAAACGCCAACACACCCGACAAAGTTCATTCAGAGACTCTATGCCTCTCATATGTGTGACTGACCCATTGCAGTTTAACGATTTTTACTTAGGACCACAATTCACTAACTGATTGCCAGTGACTGCAAAGTGCTGGAAAAACAAAATTCACATTTTTAGAAAATATGATTTGAGGGCTATCACACCGCGCAAACAGAAATAAAGACCAACGTTTCATTCTCGAATGATTTGTAATTAAATTTGAAGAGATCACATTATTAACGGCGCTTCCGATCACTAAACACTCACAATTTAAAACTGTTATTATTCCCAAACGAATCAATGAAAACTGTTGAAACTTTCACAAGATATCAAGAAGACGTAGACGAAGTGAAATTGGTGAAGAAATAGATTCTAGGGGAAGAGTGAGCATCATTTTACGGCTCATGAAATTAGGGGAAGAAACGCGTTCTGATAAGGACAAGATAGGACAGCGCTGTGCACGAGTTGACCCCGGTCAATCCCCGACTGGACGCGTGAAATTGCAGGTCACCTGCCGCTGATTTATGGCCTACCGCGGGGGGCCCGGACTAACTAAAAGATCGCTGAGACGGAATTTCGGACGCGCAAAGGACTCGTTTTAATTTTTTTTAAAACTCAGCCTTTTGCAGCTAATGGCGTCGGTGGTCTAGTGACTAGACAACATACTGGACGTATAATTTTAACCATATGATTGCGGGTTCGAGGGTTCGAGACTCAGCTTGGTCCGAAGTTGTGTTCTTGGTTAAGGTGCTTTACTGAAATGTTCCTATTTGGCTCAATTCTATTTATTAGTGACGTTTAATTCGACGGTCCCGCCTTTTAATGTACCTAACAGTGTTTAAAGAGGTAATAAACCTATACAATCTAATGCAGTTTTTTTTTTCCTCTCGCAGATTTCGTAGTTTATTGGTGCAGACACAAAGAAGAAAGAAAAAACCCCCCATAATCCCAATATACTCTCACTCGTGAATCTCAAAATACTCTCACCTGAGAAAATCAATAATATACTCTCACCTGAAAATATCAATAATATATTCTCACCTGAGAATCTCAATAATATACTCTCAGCTGAGAATCTCAATAATATACTCTCACCCGAGAATCTCAATATCAATGTACTCTCACCTTAAAATCTCAATATACTCTCACCTGAGAATCGCCGACGTCTCCTATAGCCGTGATGAATCTGTCTTTGGCGCCTCCCGCTTGTTTCTGGCATTTGGCCAAAGTGGAATCGAGTTTTTTCCCGTGACGGTCACACAGGGTCACTTTGGCGCCTCTCTCGGCAAATACCAGGGCCGTCTCTTCCCCTAGGCCTGAACTGGCCCCAGTCACAATGATCACTTGGCCCTCAAACTGGCGGGAAAAATCGTCTGGCATGGTGGATGCTGGAACACAGGTATTTTTTGTTCTCAAATGAGTTCTCTTACTTACTAGACCCAATTTTTGTTCTTTAAAAAACAAATCTTCATAGATCTAGCTTTTTCCAAAAGCTGGCTGTCGCTTCTCGGTGTTTTCTTCAATACAACACTATGTTGCCTGCTTACCTGCCTACCTGAGTTATTGTGGTTCTAACCCAGATTTCTAAGTTTTGTCTCCATAGTCGTGAGGTTTTTACAATCCTTTTACACCTTTTATCTTTACTTCCTTCAGAGTGTTTATTGGGTAAATCCTGGCGTCTGCATGCCCAAGGTAGTTCACATTCAGTTTCATTACGTTCACAAGGAGAGTTGGCTTTCTCCACCTATTCTAATGGTATTTTTTCATTCTATATTTTCTGTCTCCGTGGTGTTCTTAGAATTAAATAACCTTTCATTTCGAAACAGAAATCTTTTTCATACCTTGTTCATTGCAGGCACATGCTTCACACCCATTACATTGCCGTGGAGAAAATCCTATTTCTTAGATTTAAAAATACAAACTTATATCTCTGCACTCTCCTTTCCAGATGGATGCCATCCCTTTGAGTTTGGATGCTGCAATTGCACTCTTTCATTTAATCTCAAGAGTTCTTTCATTTTTTTCTCAATTTGGGCTAAAAAATATTCCAACTCTCCGCCCTTTCTACTTCTTTCCCTGTAATGTTTATTACAGCATCTTATATGAATTTTTTTGTGTTCCCAGTTTTAGTCCTTTTTTTATTAGGTTTTACGGCGCTCGCAACTACATAAGTTCGTATGAGCACCAAGGGGTGGATGTCAACAGAGAAGTCCTAAAAGGGAATCAGACTTACTCTGCTCATCTCTCCAGCTTCAACAGCACAAAGTCTGCTTCGACTACCAAGGCACCCCGGAAATAGCAGTTCTCAAGAGAGTGACAAACATACAAAAGAAGTAGAGGAAAATGACGATAGTAAGGACGAGGAACGAAAAAGCAGTAGTTCCCCCTATGTTGTTCCGGCACAGTATGAGCATGACATTGACAAATCAGCCCATTTGCAATTCTACTGTGTATAAGAACATGTTAATATCACTCCTTTGGGATGGCCTAAGGACAACTTCAGTCAGTAGCACTCGCCCCCCCCCCCTGAGGGAAAGGGGGGGGGGGAGGTTTTAGTTCAATGTAAAGTCAAACACTAACATTTTCCTACCTTGGTATTACAAAGTGATATCTGCTCAGAACCTAGTTTCGAGAAATTTGACACAAAAAATGTTGTTTCATAACATGTCAAGCTGTTTCGAATGCAATTCTGTGAATACCTTGACACCGACTCCGAATTACCTTACGATTTTAGTAGAGCAGATAGAACATTTGCATTCTGACCTCATGGTCTTAGCAACTCAAAACAGCCAAAAATGTTAGATAGAACATTTTTAATAATGCAAGGTAGTGGTTTGACGACGACCCCTTTCGACATATACACGATTTTAGCGCTTATTCAAAAGACAGGTGAGGAATGGACAATCACCCCCAAAAATCCGTTTTACGATTCTGCCGAGGAAAAGAAAAGATGATACGGTTTGTTTAGATTTGCTCTCTTTCTACTTGTGCCCCTGAACTGACAATTGTTCGATTTTGATTCAAGGACGTATCCATAATTATAACAGGCCACCTATCAATGGTTTGCCACAATCAAGACATAGAGTGAGATAGAGAGAGTGTATGTGTGTGTGTGTGTGTGTGTGTGTGTGTGTGTGTGTTTGTGTGAGTTTGTGTGTGTGTGTGTGTGTGTGTGAGAGAGAGAGAGAGAGAGAGAGAGAGAGAGAGAAAGAGAGAGAGAAAGAGAGAAAGAGAAAAAGAGAGGAGAGAGACAGAGAGCGACAGAGAGATAGAGAGAGAAAGTGAAACTGAAAGAAAGAGAGAAATAGATCGAAAACGAGATAGAGAGCGAGAGAGTGTACGAGAGATAGATAGATAGATAGATAGATAGATAGATAGATAGATAGATAGATAGATAGATAATTTGAACATATAATATCTAAAATAAATTTTTTAAAAAATTGTTTTTATTTCCATTTCCATAACGTTTTCAACAGCTAATAATATGTGAACGAATCCTGATGTACAACTACATTTAAATTTGAATGCGCCTTGAAGTTCGGGGTAACAATCGAAGTGGCGTCGTAGTCCTTCTCTCATCATTCTGAAACAATGAATTTCTCTCAGCTCTTAATTAAGCCGGTAGCTAAACGCTCTGCATTTGGAATAAATTGTAGAAGCTTCCGTCCAGGCAGTCAAGGCCAACTTCACTATGTGAGGGACACAACGTTGCAGCAGACAGACGTTGAAACTATATTATAAAAAAACAACGACAGCCCACTATAGATTCGAACTCATGTCTTCCGATGGCTACAGAGAAGTGTTTAACAGCTACACCCCAGATGCTAGCCTTGGTCATAAACAACAACAACAACAACAACAACAACAACAACAACAACAACAATAACAACAACAACAAGGACAACAAAAAACAAGTACAACAACGATAACGAAAAGACATACGGGCGATCTTTTAAAGATTCTTATCTGTATTATAAATCATATTATCGTGAGTTCAGTGGCCTTACCTTTGAGTAAGAGAAAGTGTTCCCTGCAATCTGAATCTACATGTCTGTTATGTAACTTATTTTTATACGTGATCGGTTGTGTGATTCAGGAAATAAAAAATTCTTAATGACTCTGCGTGAAGGTCATGCTGCCATATCCACCCTCCATCCCCCTCCCCAACACACACACACACACACACACACACACACACACACACACTCACAAAACAGAGCCAATGACTAAATAAATAACGGGGTCAATCACGCCATAATTAGTGAAACTGCCCAATCACAGAGAGAGAGAGAGAGAGAGAGAGAGAGAGAGAGAGAGAGCGTAAAAAGGTAAGTGATATTCTGAAAATGAGTACAATGCTAATAGTACAAGAATTTTTATGCAAGGTAATCTGATCGCGTCAGCATCTGTTGGTACAGTTAATTTAGGAAATTATTCATTTGTAAATGTCATACCTTCATCAAAATTTGATAATAAAATATCTTGTTTTTCTTTTTAGTATATCTACGTCCCCATCGACCTTGATATCGATCATTTAGAAGGAGGGCTTCGATTCTGCAAGAGACCCGTGACCAATGCATGTCTAAGAAACTTTTTAATAGAGATTTTTGGGGGGTAAGTGTTTTACGGCGCTCGCAACTGCATACGGTCATATGAGCGCGTTACACTTGAACCATGTTCAATTAGTAGGAGATTTAAAATTTTGCCCGGGTGGCTACCGAAGCCTACTTTTATCGATTTTAGACCACCAAGGGATCTTTAACGTGTGCAACTTGCACACGGGACCTGCGAGATCTTTCGCCCTTGTCCGAGATGGCTAGATGTAGATCTTTCTTACCAGAAGATCAGGGGTGTGGCTGAAAGACAGCAGTAAGAAGGAGCCAAGGAGTAGCAATAGAAAGGCTTGCAGAAAGAACCAGGAGCCCAGAAAAGGGGGCTCAGGAGGTAAAGCGGTGGGAGTAGAAAGTGGAGACGAAAGCAGACGACAGAACATAGCTGGAGAGCAGGAAATGAGGTGAAAGGAGACAGTTTTAGAGATGAAAATTTTTCCGTCGCTACTCAGACACGAACCCGGGACCATTGAATGAGAGGCGAACACCTTAACCTCTAGCATATGCATATGCGCCTTCAAACAGTACCCACGAACATATGTACACACACACACACACACACACACACACACACACACACACACGCACACACGCACACAAACACACACAAACACACACACATACACATAAACACACATACATACATACAGACACAAACACACGCTCGCGTGCGCACACTTGCATATAAACATAATACTCCCTCCCCCTCACAAAGACAGACACAAACACACACACACATACACATACGCACACACGCACACACGCACACACAC